TATATATATATATATATATATATATATAAATTATGTTATGGCGTTATTATTTGCTTCTACTCGGAAAATCTCGTTCGTCATTCTACAGTGAGGTGAAAACCAAAGTATGATCATTTTAGTTTCCTATTTAAAATAATTTCCGGATTTCAAAGTTCTGAGCCCAGAGAAAATCCTTTGTCTATCTTATATATATTTTTTATACTGCGGTATACAAGTCACGTATAATGGAGGTAATCGGAAACTATTTATTCAATACGATACCAATGTGTGTCATTTTTTGAGGGTCTTTGGATCTTCTGTTCTAAGCGGTCTACAGGGTTACCACGCTATAAAACCGGGTATCGATATCCGTGGTAGGCAGAGCACAGATATCCCATTGTGTAGCTTTGTGTTTAACAATATATAACCATGTTACAAGTAGTATTTTTAATTTACTTGATGTAACTGTTCAAATTAGAGAAATGTCAATAATATGATGAAAAATTCATTGAACTTCTAGTTTTTATTTTATTCATAAGAGCACAGAATGCCATCTATAAGCATATAAGAAACGATCAGTACTGAAAAACTTACGAGTGGTTCTAACTAACTCTTAATTATAATTAATTATATTGTCGATTGGATATATATTCCTTTAAACTGATCTTACCTTGAAAGCAACTACAGTTTAGTTAAACCCAAACAAAATATTAACCAGATATTCATTTTAGCCTAAATCCTCGTGAAGTAGAATAATACTATTAAGTTAGTTACTTTTAAAACGTTGAATAAAATGAAGGATTAAAAATAGTTCTTACGGATATCTTGGTAAAGATGCAGAGAAATAAATACAAAACAGACAGATAAATGCGAATTCTTTGTCCTCCGAATCTTCGTTGCATATATTCCGGCATTGTGAACACCTAAATAATGTAGAAAATAGGAAAAAAAAGGTGAAACACCTATAAATATTTTCCCCTAAATAATGTAGAAAATAGGAAAAAAAAGTGAAACACCTATAAATATTTTCCCCTAAATAATGTAGAAAATAGGAAAAAAAAAGGTGAAACACCTATAAATATTTTCCCCTAAATAATGTAGAAAATAGAAAAAAAGGTGAAAAATCTATAAATATTTTAACAGCTAAGTAGGTGGAGCGCCAGTTTAGAAAACACTGTGTTGTAATCACATTACATATTCTTCATTTTATTAGCTATTGATTAAAATCATAACCGTGATATTAATTCCTTTACTGAAAAAAATATTGAAATACTTATAAAATAATCACTTGTTTATAATTATGAACTTACCCCGGCCGCCATAAAAACAGGTAGAAAAATCCAGCCCATTATCAATAGGACAAAGATCGCCTACGAGATAAAAATATATATATATTTCTTTAAAAATATTGAAGTTTGAATCAAAAAGTCTATCATTATATTTTCTTGAATACCCGTTTCGAATTTTAATTTCATTGACAATATATTTTAAACAGTTGTCAAGCGATTTCTGTTTCACTTTACACTCAACTTACTCAGTTTTTAGAAAACTAGAACCGGTTAAATGAAGATATGTTTTGTCATTTAGCTTCACGAGTGAGTCATTATATGTCTTGTTACTGAAGTCGCTTTTATATTACGTTTTCCGCATCAAATTCTTCAGTGCATAATAGTGTTCCCAATCCAAGAAGCTGTCATATATATAGTCTTATTCCAGTGAAGTTCAGAAGTATGTTAAGTTGCATTCGTAGTTGTCAGTGAGTTAGTTTACGAAGCTCCAAACTAAATTTAGTTAGGTGACATTTTATAGTTAAGAACTTAATACTTAATTGTTTGAACGAGCTTTAAGACATGCATAAATGTTAATACATTTCTTTACAATATTTAAAATTCGTATGGTTGTGACAAGTGACAGTAAGCTGTAGGGCACCACTCAATTTTGAAAACAATACCTGGATACCAAACTTGAAAAGAAGATGAAAGGAATATGGGAGGCAACGTAGATATTTGGAAGTATATGTGGGAGCTTGCATCCCTGAGAAAAATCGAACCTTTCATTAACATTTGGAGGTGTTTTTGGTCACTCTCAACGTCACTTTAATATACAGTTGTTATAACTGGTGTTTTTCAGAGCTGAGAATGGCTTGTCCATGAAGTATTTATTACTGCTGCTGCTAAAATAATAAATAAAGTGAGCTTAACTTATTTACTGGTAACTAAAATAATTCCACCGCTCTTTACATTATATTGATAATGGAAAATTTGTGATAAGTGAGAGGAAATGGGAAGCGAGAGAAAAAGATCTAAAGCGCGTCCCAGTTCTGAAGAAAATATATGGAAAATCCCAAGCCCGACTGTAGCCCTATCAAGTTGTAGTTCACTGTCATTTTAAGTTGTTATTGAGTTTCATGTCTTGTATTTCTAATATCAATATTAAGATGATTTGTCTTTGACATATCACATTAATAGAACACGTTGAAGATGAAGGTCAATTGCTACAGAACCAATGATTTACATTTACAAAATGACATGATAATATAATAGTTTTTAGCGCAAACTTAAATACTGAGGTCACTGGGTGAAATTCTTCACTAAATAGAGTAGTGAGTAGGATATTAGTAAAATTAAATGTCGTTGGTTTGTTTATTCAGTAGACTAGTACGGGATCAAAATATAATGGAACATATGACACAAAAAAGTACGAATTTAATTTATGAAATACTTACATTTAGCTCAAATACAGCCATTCCTATGCCCGAGCTGGCTCCAGCTCCTGCTAATCCTATAAACATACTGCTTCCTACATTACTAGCAAAGAGCGAAAACGCTACCTGAAACACATGTAAACTGAAAAATAGACTTGACGTGAATAAATAACTATATTAATTAGTTATTAACATACGTAGAAAATCATGCAACAAATAATTTTTAATGAGCAACTTTTTCAACAAACAAGTAATAAATTATCGAAACATTAAGTTTATAGTTTCATATACATTCGGAGAAGGTTACTTAATTACATGTCAAGTGTCACATACCGGAATCCAATGCATGTTTCTGCTGGCCAAGAAAAACCCACTGACACTGTCTCGTTTGGCCTTCACAGAGGACTTGCAAAAAACAAAGATTAATTTCACTGTAAAATAATGTTTGCCATGAACACAGTGCAATTATATTATTATTAGATAACTAGAGTTTTAATTGACTATCTTCTTTAAAAATAATTATAAAAAGGTTGATAAAACATAAAACATTTTATAAAACGTTTCGGAATAACTTATTCCATCTTCAGCGAAGTATGAAAATTGTGTTACAAAGATGATTATTACTAATTACTATTATAATCTAATAACATTATCGTATTTTCCAAGTTGTTAAATAATGTTTATTTCTTACATTTGTTATATAATAATACAAATTTCTATCACTGAGAGATTGTAATAATTAAAGATCGTATAGTTCTCTCATAATTTTATTGAATTAGGTTCTTCTAAATCTTTTGCTTTTAAGTATACATTATAAATCATAGATTAGGTTTAAGAATAAATTTGTTTTTCTACAACCAGACTGACCATCAATTTAAAGTTTAAATGGACGTCCAAGGTAGTAAAGGATTTTAATTAGGATGTTCAAACTATTTTGGTTCTGTAATCTTTAATTTCCATCATTTGTTTAAAAATAAGTTAGATACTTTCAACAAAAAATTTAACTACAAGTTAGATACTTTAATCTATACGTTAAACAAACAAGTGATTAGTGAAGAAGTTAAAAAGTATACAAGTTGATTAAAAAAAAGACTATCAAAATTAAACTAAGAATGAAGCAAAAGATATGAAGAAGCAATAGCGATGTTTCACTAATAAAAACTGGAATATCAAAACTATTTCTTTAGAACATTTAAGAAATGAGAAGAAAACAAAGCAGGATACAAGAGTAAAAAGTCATACAATCAAATTAGACATTACTTAAAGAAGGATAAATAGCTAATGAGGTTGGATAATTTTACAATAAAGTTTTTAACATAAATGAATTATATTAAAGCAAGCGTGTAAGTAAATGGTGGTTAAAAAGAAAAATTGAAAATACAAAAGTAAAAAGTTACTTTACTTCTTCCTATAGATTTAATCTAAAAAAGCCTAATCAAATGATTTTAACAACAACCCAAATTAAACAAATTGACGATGAAGAGGATACCACAATATTAAAGACAAAACAAAATGGGAAGGGGCTTTTACAATTTTTGATCCCTATAGGCAGGTGATGGCACTGCCTTTATAGTGATTTATCGGATTGTTCATTGAAATAGTATTTTAAATAACTCCTCAATATGTTAAACTTTACAATACTATGCAGTGTTTCCTTTTATAACAATATCTATGTAATGACCGAGTCAAGTTCTGGGAATGCCTAGATATCATAGCAAAAAGTTTGAATTTCTTGTTCTTTCTTCTGCTTCTTTTTTGTTTCATGATAACTCAAAAACCAAAATAACGACACCAACCAATTTCACCGAAGTGACAGTTTCAAATAGAGTATCCGCTTTTATAAGTATTATCAATAACTAGTAATAATTATACAATAATAAACGAATTATGAAATGAGTCATTTCCTTGTAAAAAAGTCAGAAAGATTGTGGAAAAGGTGTTATTATT